AGTCTGACTCTGCCCATGTAGCATTGGCAGTCCGGTATAAACCCCTAGCTGGCATCTGAGTTCTCTCAGATTGCCTGCCTTACAGCTGTAATGGTCTTGGAGCTTTTCCTCAGTTTCCCAAGGCAGAAACCCTCCTTAACAAGACAGAGAGAGAGAGAGAGATAGAGAGAGAGAGTGACGGAGAGAGAAGGTTGGCCTGAGAGTTCCACTGTAGCTAGGCCGTGGTGATGAAGTGCTGGACACTCACAGTCACATTCCTAGGCAGCCTTTCCCAGTTTGGCACAACCTATACCAACCTCAGGTGATGGCTGATCCTTTTGTGGTTGCCAAATGTGATGCACGGATGACATGTGCAGGAATTTCAGGTGCTCAGGGTTCTTGAGCCCACTCCGAGAATGAAAGCACAGGCAGACTCCAGCAGCAAAGGTTGGAAAGATTTTATTTGTAAAGAAGAGAAGGGAAAGACTGCATAGTGAAGAATGCAGGGGGACCCAGAAACTGGTGGTCCCCTGGGTCTGGTTGGGGATTGGGTTTTATAGCCTTTTTGCATTGCCTGAGGGCAGAGATGTCTCTCAGGTACAGACAGATTTCCTGGGAAGGAGAGGTGTCTCCTTGACCACTTATCACCTTTTGGGACCTCTTGCAGTCCATCCTTCAGTACCTTAAATTTTGACCTCAGAAAACTCTCTAGGCGAACTTTAAACTGTAGCCAACCCAAGCACACATATATCAATTTATAAGTTTTAAGACCTTAATTTGTATCTTGAAACAACCTTTGTAAAAACCCAAATTTAGAAAACACTGTTTTAAATAAAGCTCTTAGCAACATTATACCTTAAATGATTTAGGAATAAGATTAAATTAAACTACCTTTTTAATAATAGTAATCTACAAAAACGCATGGGTCAATTAACCTAATTATAAAAGAGTTAAATGTAAATTGCACTCATAACAGAATGAAACAGATTGAGATTATTGTCCATAAATTTTCTTTTGTCTTAAGGCAGAGGATAGTTAGGACTGGTTGGGATTAAAGCTTTAGAATACCTTTGAGACAGTTGTGCACATTAACTTTATAAAAGTAGTTTAGGAACCATCCTAAAGATATCTGCACACACACGCAAATAGACGTTTTGACCTAGGCATGCAAAAATGTCAGTTTTGGCCTGCTTGTTTGAAGTCAAAAAAGTAAAAATTAAGTGGCTACAGCTGGTAGGAGACAGACTGAGACATACACAGAAAACACAAGGACACAAAGCAATCACATTAGAGTGTACTCTTAGACACATCATTTCTTGCTATTATTTTTAGTAAGTTGATCAGCTAGGTTCCTAAGTAGTTTACAACAGAGGTTTACCACTAATACCCTATTCTAGTCCAATCCTTAACAGATTAATGCAGTAAAAACAACATGTATAAAAACTATATTAATTAAGAGAATTTTAACCACAAGTTAGTTATAATTTTCTTAGAGCATGACAAGATGGCATAGCCCATGAGTTTCCTGATCTTAGGGAGTGGCAAGATGGTGCTGGACACGTGATGGCTTCATCAAGATGGCAGCATTTCCTGTGACCACATGGTTTCTCCAAAGGGTCTCTCAAAGGGAAAACAAAGACATGTTGTATGTAACATACAGGCTCAAAATAACAATCTATTATAGGAATAAAAAGATCTAATCTCTGAGAGACATATTACTGTCCACATGACCTCCTAATGAAGAGACCAATAATCAAAGCAAACTAAGGTGGGATTTGAACTCACAACCTCACATTTGTTAGGCAGACAAGTCCTTGTTAGCTTCCCTAAAGAAAGGATATTTAGAAACTATCTTTATAATCTGGCAAATAATTCCATTAATACCATCAGTGAAGGGCTCCAGTCACTTGCTGGCAGGCCTGGGGCGTGTGTGTCTGGGACAGGGGAACATAACCTCAGGGTGAGCACTTCTGCAAACCCTGCAGGCCGTGGGGACAAGGACAGCATGAGTGATAATAGAGATGGGGTGCCCAGGGCAAACAGAGACATGCAGGTAGGCAGGCAAGGGAGCAGAAGAGAGGGGGGAAGAGGAAGAAGGCTATGGATGCACAGCAGCTGCAGGAAAGAGAGGTCTGGCTTGAGGCCAGGGTGGCATCCACCAGAGCTGGCACCTTTAGCAGTGGAGGCAGCCTGGTGGCCATGGACCCCAGGCCATGCGGGTCATGGATCTTGGTGCATACCCAGTGTCAGTGCCGCTTCCTCCTTCCTGCTAGGCCACACAGCTCTGGACAGCAGTGTTGGCTCCTGGTGGGGGGCACTGTTGCTGCTATTGGCCACAAGCTTCCCATCCTCTGAGCTGAGGCTCCCAGTCTGGCCAGATACTCAGAGCACAAGCGGGTCCCTGTTCCTCTGATAGGTAGCAGATAGGCATAAGTGGTAGCCACAGGAAGAAATCATTTTAGTTTAACTTTTTAACAACACTAATCTCTATTTAAGATCAGGTAGCCAGAACCCAGAAGCTATCGCAGGAAGCTCCAAAGTAAGCTACTACTCAAAAGCTTAATTCACTCTCTACCCAACAATAATCTGCCTTCTAAACATCAACTATGCCTGGAGCAGGGAGGTTTTCGCAAGTGAATTTAACAAAACAAGGACCGAATCCATGGAGCTAGACAGAGCAAAGATTAGGAATTTCAAACACAAATTATCAATTAGATCAGGAATTAGTAGATTACTCAATGTCTCTTTTAACAAGACAATGACCCAAACTCAGAAAATCACCCCAGGGGTCAAAAGACCCAAAGCAAAGAGTTCCTTAATGAATGTTTCAACCTTAAATCCTGATCCCATTGTTCTCACACTAAAGACAACCCACTTTCTTGTTGAAAGGTAATCTTCCAACAAACTCCGCTGTTACTTTCACTGACTCTTCTGGGCAAGAACCCAGGCATATCTCCAAGGTTATTTTTCCAGTAGTGCCTCTGAAGGCAGCTTAAGGCCTGGGGCACCGTAGCCCAGGACAGGAGAGAGGTATGGCTGGGGGCTGGAGATAAATCCAGCCCATGTGCCTGGGGAGACAGCTGCCAGAGCTGGCTCCTGCCATGGCTAGCATGCCTTCTGGGCCACATGGCTGCCTTGGCCTGGGGTCAAAAAGAGAGAGAGAAGGAAGCGAGTGGGGTGCTGTGGTTTTAAAGCAGCCTGCCCCAGAGGGAAAATGTAGGATGTGGGAACCTCTGTGTGAGTGTTCTCCATGAACCCCAAGCTGTGGGGGGATTCTGTGTTGGGTGGACAGACATCACTGTATCCTGCAGGCCACCTGCCTCCACAATGTGACCAGCAGGTAGGCCTGCATGTTGGGCGGACACCATTAGGCCCTAGAGACCCCATGTTTCCCAGCTGTGTTTCCTAAGGGCAGAGCTCAGCCCACTCCTTTGACTATGGTTTCGGAGAAATAGAAGAAAGAGAAAAAAAAGAGTGTAGAAATAGAGTCTGGGGGCTCATCATTTCTCCTAGCTGGCTTAGCCACAAATGTTGATGGTGTCACTGCAATCTATGATCAAAAAACTTCCAAATTCTTTGTCCCACTTAGAAGAATCCATGACAGAATACACTTGTGTAAAGGAAGTTTATTAAAAGGGAAGGGAAATACAAAAGGGAGCATTGTGGGACCCAGGTAGAATCTAGAGGTCGAGAGAATGTGTCTTTCCTCCAGGTGCTTTTAAAATTTATGCTAATCTATGGGAAGGGCAGAACTAGGTGACTCTTGTTGGAATTAAAGATCTTTCAGTGCTGAAAACAGACACATGAGAGAGAAAATCTTGATAAGGTAATTTCTCTTGATCAAAATGATACAAGCATGTACTCACTCCAGCTGAGCAGATATGTGAGCACAAAATGGCCAACAGTGGCTTCTCCTTACATCCCTGACTCAGTTGTACCTGCCCCTCACCTGGGATTTGTCCAGGTCAAAGGTTTACAATCTTTCTCGATTGGCTAAAAGGCTTAGGGGATGGGTTAAAGCACATAATTTTCATGGGGAATGGGGCTGTACAAGAATCCGGAAAAAGAAACAGGAACTCTTTAAACAATGCAAGTCATCTAAGATAGAAACCTGGGGAATTTTAAGTAATCTAAGAGGGTGACAAATACTTTGATAGAAAAGATCATTTTTCTTACACTCTCATCCCATAATCAATGAGTGGGGAGGGATGTGAGAATTTCGTGGTCGGGTGAGGGCAGTCTCTGAGCCAAAGCATGGTTAATCTGAGATGTAATATGTTTTTAAGTCCCAAACTTTCCCTAATTTTAGCTTGCCGCAAAGTCATCATTGGTGTATTGAGAATGCCAAATAACAACAGGAAATGACTTTTTCATCAAGAATTTATTAAGCACCTATTGGTGTCAGATATGGATTAAAGCAATTCTTCACCATTATATAATCAAAGGACTAGTTGCTCATAAAGCAGAGAAATACAGGGTTTTTTACTTCTCCCAGCACAGAATAATAGATTTTCTTTAGTTATTTTCTCAAGAAGAACACTGACTAAATAGGATTCTTTGAAATTGGTTAGTCCTTACCAAAGCATTTGCAATTCCTATGGGTTTGGATTCTTTCTACTTTGGTTTTCAGGTCTCTGTAGTGAAAGAGTTCACAAAGCAGTATAGCCATTCCAAAGGCAGAGTTGATGGGGAGGGAGGAAGTAAAGTGTAGGGATGTGTGTGTGTGTGTGTGTGTGTGTGTGTGTGTGTGTGTGTGTGTTGAGACACAATGAGGAACTGAACTCAAAATGCATGAAGCAGAAGATTCTGATGACACACGTCCAGAGAGGTTAGATGTGCAGACAGACATTGAGAAGTATAGAAGTGTCAGGCATTTCCTATGGGTTTGGATTCTTTCTACTTTGGTTTTCAGGTCTCTGTAGTGAAAGAGTTCACAAAGCAGTATAGCCATTCCAAAGGCAGAGTTGATGGGGAGGGAGGAAGTAAAGTGTAGGGATGTGTGTGTGTGTGTGTGTGTGTGTGTGTGTGTGTGTGTGTGTGTTGAGACACAATGAGGAACTGAACTCAAAATGCATGAAGCAGAAGATTCTGATGACACACGTTCCAGAGAGGTTAGATGTGCAGACAGGACATTGACGAAGTATAGAAGTGTCAGGCATCTCAACTAGTAGGTGAAGAGCAACAGAAAGAGAAAGGATCTGTGAGACTACATCTTTATTAAGGTTCATAGGCCTTATCCTCTAGGCTTTCCAATGAGAGATTTGAATTGATTGGTTTAAATAACACACATGAGAAAGGAGGAATTTATCTACAAGACTCTGGTGATGACTATTCATTTTGTCATTGTCAGTAGGTGCAGGTTGAGGTATGTTTGGATCAATGAGATGATAAAAAAGCAGGTTACATCAACAACAACTATTTAATATTTGAAAGTTATAACTTACCCAAGCATGTTGGGTTGAACTAGGTTGCAAAAAACTACGTCATATGTGAGAAAAGGATGATGATCTACAAGCATACAATGTATAAGAATCTATAAGCATGTTAATATCAAGAAAATTAAGATTAAAGTAAAATGGTATTTAGCTTTTTCCTTATTCAAACATATTTCATCTTCTTCATGCAGCTAACAGGGATATGCAATCACTAAGTGTGAGTTTAAGTCTGGATAATCTCAATGAACTCAGTATATTGTTTAGAGACATTACTGTGCTAATTATATTTTATGAATTTGGATTTCAACATCCACGGAATTTTAGTCTAATCAGAACACAACCTGTTTCTATAATATATCTCTTTGAGGAGAATTTTGGCATCAGCAGTTACTATGTCAAGGAAATATAGCTGTAAGTAAAAGACTTTCTTTGCATAAAGACTTTTGTTAAGAGGACTACCTTTAGCTAGACAGAGCATATTCCAACATTCCAAAATCTTTTCCTGTATTGTTTCTTCATTCGTAGTTTTCAACAAATTTGGAGATTTAATGATTTCCTTGAGTTGTTCCACAGGAACTTGCCAGTCCTTAGCTAGACTCTGCAAGGATGCATCATCCACTCCAAAGTGGACTTGATATTGGTATAAGCTTGCTTTCAGCAACTTCACATCATTATCGATGATGTCATTCACTATAGGAAAGTAAGTCGATATTCCAACCATCAAGGTTTCTAGCCAGATAAACTGCTTCAGAAATTCTCGCTTCCTCTCAATGGCTGCCTCTGTAATATTAGGCAAGGAAAGCAGGAAACTGTGGCGCTTTTGAGCAGGGAGACATTTTATTAGGGTGTCCATCAGGACTGGGAAATCATACTCAGATAAATCCCTGCTAGAGATCAAGAAAATCTGTGGTTCGTCAATATTATTCTTCTTAAAAGTATCCACACAGTAGTTTCGGATCAGCTGCAGGACCTTTTCTCTATCATAGGTAGATGGTTTGCAGTGCTTTTCATTCCATAAATCAAAGTCCACCTTGCTTCTCACAAAGTAGAAATTCTTCTTCATATATCTGACTGCTTTGGCAAGGTCTACATCATTTTTTGTGAAGCGTGTAGAAGAAATAATAATGAAGAAGTCATACTCACTGAACTTTACTTTCTCCAGATAATCTTTTGGCTGGAAATTCGTGGTTCCAATGCCAGGCAGGTCCCATATGATCACATTGGGAATGTTTCGGTGTTTGTATGGCATTCTGTGCATAGTTGTTTCCACTGCCCCAGTGGGAGCCGCATCTTTCTCTTCATGACCAACCCCTCTCAGGGCATTGATGAAACTGGACTTCCCTGTGCCAGACTCCCCTGTCACAGCAACATTGACTGGGGTGTTATCAATTTCTTTTAATGCATCACTGATTGCAGAGTTTGCCCCCTGGATGTTTCCTCTCATCAGATGTGACTCAATTGAATGGATGGTTTCTTGAGAGATGATTTGGTTTTCCACTTTCACGTTCTTAAAATATGCAGTAAAGCTGGAGGCCAAATCTTTCTGTTGTTCATCATTAGATGTACCAGAGAACAGCTGACCCATGACTGTGAGCAAATAAAGGAACTGAAAGAAAGAAGGGAAAGTTGAAAGAGATTGCTGTGCCAGAAGATCTTTGTGTTTTGCTCTACCTAATAGTCTTGCTGCCTCAGTTCTGTTTCCCTCAGTTATGTTCTGATACATTGTTTCTAATGTCATCTTTATTATGGAAAATTTAAAACTTAAAGGGAAAATAATAAAAATCTGCATGTGTTCTTTAGCCAACCTTAACTGCTATAACAACATCACCAATCTAATTTCATCTAATTCCACTGTAGTATTCTAAAGCAAATACGAGACACTTTCATTCCATGCATAAATACTTTAGTATTTTTCTTTAAATTATAAGGAATTAAATTAATACAAATGTCATGACATTATTGCACTGGAAAATAAGTAATGATTCACATCATCAATATCTAATCTGTGTCAAAATTCCTCCACAGTCATACAGGTTTTTGTTTTTGTTTGTATTTTGTTTTTATACCATTGTCTACAATCAAGATATCAAAAAAGGTCTGTACTGCATTTTATTGATATAATTCCTAAGTTGCATTAATTTGATTTTCATGAGTTTTTTTCATTACTGTAGAACTCATGTACATGAGTCATTTTCCATGAGGATTAAACTTGCAATTATATAACATGAGGCTTCTCCATTTTTCAAGTCCAAGTTTAAAGCCATTTCCTCAATGTAGTATTTCAGCATGTTCAAGCCTTTATTTATCTCTCCTGTTTTCTTTTATAGCTATTATGTAATGAAAATAATCTGGGATGGGAGCATGGCTCAAGTGGTAAATTTCCTGCCTTGTAAGCTCAAGGCCCAGAGTTCAAAACTACATAAAGCAAAAAACAAACAACAAAAACAAAAAGGAAAAAAAATTAATCATATAGAATCTTCTTTGAAAAACAGCATTTGTAAGGGATGCGCTTCAGAAAAGCTTATGCCAGAAATTACTATTCTTACTTTGCCATCTGAAAGTCACTTCTTTTAGTAGCTTTATAGAGATATCATTAGCATATGAAAACTATATCTTAATGTGTTCAACTTGATTGTTTGATACAAGACCATCTTGTGAAATGATAATCACAGTCCAGCTAATAAAGGTATCAGCTCTACACTGTTACCATTTGTATATGTTTGTGGTGAGATTTATAATGTACAGTGTTAGCAATTTCAGGTGCACAATAATTATCATAACTATGTTGTACATTAGAGCTTTGAAATTTGTACAGCTTTCATAACAGAAACTTTTTGTTCTTTGATCAACATTACCTCACTTCCCCCATCCTAGCCCTGGTAACCAACATCTTAGTCTCTTTTTCTGAGTTTGACTATTCTACATTTCAAATATAAGTGAGATCATGAAGATCACTTTTCAACTGGGCAGCAGAACAGGATGCGAGCACCATGGATGATGTTAGTTGCTTACTTTCCATTGTCTCTTCCCAGATCCATCTTGACATTCTTAGTCTGAGGAAAACTGGAAGTAGAAAAAAATGCCATGGAACTCCTCAGACCCTATGTAACTTATTCTTGGCACATTTCATGCTAAACTCTTCATCTCAGTCTAATGCTATCTACTGGTGTTGTAAATTGTAAGATGAAAAGCCTTGGGGTGATCCTGCTCTCCATTATCACTCAGATAAAAGCATGGATGTTGATCACATCCCATGCATATGATTAGAGTCCCTAGGAGCTGGCTTGGGTACATGTGCAGAGTAACTGTCAATCACCCTAACTGGATTCTCCAAAACCTCCCAAACCCTTCCCCCACTCACAGGCCATAGGCAATTGGGAACAGTCCAAGTTTTCCCCACCCCCAAATTAAGGATGGTATAAAAAATGCCTTAAAACAAAAATCTGCTTATTTCCTGCTCCTGGTTTCCCCCCACCTGGCCAGATGGGGCATCTATTGTTTTTGTGATGCCTTCCCTTTACCTTTAATAAACTTTTATTATCACCCTCACTATGTATACATATCCTACCTGTATGTATCTACTTAAGATATAGGGAATCTGGAACTTTCTGTTTACAAGCAACTACAAGAAGTCTGCTTTGTGACCCAGGTGGACAGCCTTGTAGATTACATCAGCAGAGAGCCCTCACCTTCCAGTTTCCAAAATAACTTAGCCAGCTAGAGGCACCAAAAAGTGTATGGGCATCGTTGAGAGTTAGGCGAGGTTATGTCTCCCTGCTTGTGCTACATTTACTACCGTAACTGCTCCCGTCACTGATTTCAATCCATGCTCTATACAGGCCTCTGACTACTGTTCCAGTTCTTACATGAATTTTAAGAAAAATATTTTCTTTCCTTCTCTCTTTTTTCTACATTAGGGTTAATAAAATCTTCTCATACCTCTTAGCTCCTTGGTGCCTCACCATCCCTTATTTATTGGCCTTATTCTGGCCCAACTTTCTGGAATTGCTCTTGCATTGCAGTCTCTTCATTTGAGCACTTACTGATGAATCCTGCCTAAACTGTAAGACGTGACTTATTTTCTTGCGGCAGGTGCTGCAAAGATATGTGTATCCTTTCCTTTCCAAAGAATGTTTTATATATCTGAAATAAGGGATGAAATATGTAATACCTTCAATTCTGTATAAATGTTCTGCAACCTAGGTCCACTTTTGATTATGTCATGCAACATTAAATGGAACTTTTCCCATTGTTTGTGAACTGGGTACATTATAAAAGAGAGCTGCTAGGTTCATCAACATAAAAATTGAGAGGGTCTGGTGAACTTGCCCTTGAGAACAAGTCTTGTTAGCCATCTCTAGTGTCTAGCTATGAGAGGTAACTAATGATTAATTGTGGAGATAGATTATGAGTGCTTCAAGATGGTATGAAGTTTAACAGAGAATTCTAAGTGTTTTCTCACTTGTATCCATGTAGGAAAGTGGTTGGAACTGGAGATCATTAGGTTGAACAATATAAGTCAAGCTCAAAAAGACAAATACCACATTTTTGCTCATATGTGGAATCTAGAGTTAAAAATAATAATTTTAATATAATAGTAAGACATGATTGTAAAAGGGTGACTGAGGAACAAATGGGGGTAAATGGGAAATGAGAGGGTGCTGGGTGATGAATATGATCAAAATATAGTATATATATGCATAAAAATAACAAAATGAACCTCACTAATGCTAAAAAAGTAGGGGCGGGGGGCAGGGTGGTTATAAAAGTGTAGTAGAAGGCATGAATTTGATCAAAGTATATTATTAATGTTTGGAACTTTCACAATTAAACCTTTTGATACAATTAATTTATGTTAGTAATTTTTAAAAGAGCAAAGAAATCAACCAGGAAAAATGATAAGGTTAAAAGAAAAACTTTATATTACATTATATAAGGAAATATTAAAAAAAACCTAAGTTTCAAAGAACATTTGTTCATTTTTATAAAACTGACCATATATTCTACGGATATTCTCACCCATGATATAGTAACATTAACCACTGCATTACTTATATTATTGGAAGACATTGTCAATTTTTTTAAAACCAATTTTCATCACCAGAGGAAATAAATGAAGCAGACTGTCTCTAGGGGTCTAATCTACAAATAGGAAGGAAGAGAGAGAGAGAGAGAGAGAGAGAGAGAGAGAGAGAGAAAGAGAGAAATACAAATAGGTCATTGTGTAAGGCAGCATTCTAAGATAATTTCCAACAATTAATGATTTCTGTATTCACTTGCTTTTGTAATTCTCTTCCTTCCAGCTTTGGTAGACCTGAATCTTGCTTCACATAAGGAGAATATACCACCACAGACTGGATGTCCCTCCTCAATCCTGTTAAAAGACATTGAGGTTTCATTTTCTGGAAGAGTCTCATGTTATCTTTGGAGAAGTAAACTGGCATTTGGCAGATAACCAGGTGGTAGGATTGAGGGAAGCCTCTATTCAACAATTAGCAACGAGCTGAAGTTCTTATTCCTATAGTTCTTGAGTACCTAAAGTGTGCCACCACCATGTAAACAAGCTTAGAATAAGACGCTTCCCTGTGAGCCCTCAGAAGAGATCCCAGCCCTCGTCCACAACACCATTACTGCAGTCCTGTGAGAAAGGCTGAAGATGAGTATCCAGGGAGACAATGTCTATATTCATGGCCCTCAGAAAGTCTGAGATAATAAATGTGTATTATTTTAAGATGATAAATTAAGAGTAATTTTTTGAACAGAAATAAATAATTAATGTCCAATGGATATTTGCTCAAAATATAAGAGAAAAAGATGGATGAGAATGAGATATATGAAACAATACCATTCACTCAATTAAAATCACAGATACACCACCCCCTCTATTTCTCTCTGTTATGAAGGGGATTCTTAAAATGATGTGAATAATCAGCAAACTTAGACACTTAAAGAAATATTAATAAAATATAAAAATACTCTAATAAGAATAATAAATAGGCAAGAAATATATTAGACTTTGAATGGGAAACCATGGCAAAATTTAGGCTCAGTAGAAATTTCAAGAACCTTGGTAAATTTACTTTAATAAATATGTGTCACATTTCTATAAAACATGAAATGTTGAAATTAGTGAGAGATCAAATACAAAATGCCAGAAAGCTAGTAGCTGCTAAAAATTGAAAAAAAAATTAAACTTCCCTAATTGCAAAATAGTAAGTTGGATTCAAATGGTTCAAAAGATCTATAAAGTATCAAAGATCATAGTGTATGTGTCATATAATGTAGATTTAAAAGAGAAGGAAAACCTATTCCACATGCTTAATTCGTTTTAGATGTAAAATAACACTGATGGCAAAACTGAATAATGAAAATAAGAGAAAATGATAGATCAACATTTTCCAGATGGAAAAACATTCTAATAATAATATTAGCTACCTGAAAGTGTCATATATACATGCATGTATGCTGAGAATATATGTCTGTATTCATAAATACATATATTAAATCAACTAGAGATATATAAGTAGTCTACTAATATGAGTGTGACAGTTTGGAAGCAGGAAAAAACAAGATGAATGTTGAAGAGCAGTTTTAACTAGCTCAGAT